AGCTGAAGTCCCTCGGCCCTTAAAGGGGAAAGGTTTCCTATCCCTGCCAAACCCTCATGCCCTCCAACTCCTTCAAGGCTGGGAGGGCACCACTTCAAGCCCTCCCCCATATCCTCCAAGTCCTGTGACACTGGGAGGATGCCACCTATCTCCCTTCATCTATTAAGTCCTCCCCTGAATGTCCTCCATTCTGAGCATCACTTAGAGAAGCCCTTCATCGACTTTCATAGGAGTGATTTTTGGATTTTTGATTTGGGAACGTCATATATATATATATATATATATATATCCCTGTGGAAGGTCATTTTGAGCTGGACTAAGAACCATGCACTGACATTCCTAGGAAAGCTTTGGGCTTTGGTTTTGAAATGTCCTCCATTTTGAGCAGGACCAAGAAGCATGCATTGACATTCTTACCAGTGTTTTGGGCTTTGATTTGGGGACGTCCTCCATATTTTTTTTTCCTGGATGGTCCTCCATTTTGAGGGCAGTGCCTGATCCTGCCAGCCCTCCCTTCCCCCTTCTCCCTCCTTCCTTGCATCACCGATGACGCATAGATGATTGACTTAAAAAAAAAAAAAGACCAGGATAGAGCACCATTTTGTAACAGTGCAAATCCAGTGGGAATGACAATCGTGTCAAAAAAGACATGAATGCATGAAATAATGAAATAATTTGCTTCCATAGTGGGAACTACACATCGGCCTGAAGCGATTCAGTGACCCAGTGTCAATACGACTTGCAAACCAGTTTAAATGCAAATGGGAATGATCCCAACAACAAACTTTCCTTCAACCTGATCAAAACTGATCAATTCCATGCCTGGCAAGAAAGTGGTGAGAATTGGAGAAGTGTCCGATTATGTCTTGGAATGGTTACATTATGTGCTGAGATCTCCAAAGGAACCATCTTGAGGAAAATACCAGTCTTCCAATTTTCAAGTCACAGTAAATGCCATATGAGGGTCTCAACAAGATAGCTGCTGAAATAAATAGTGTTAGGTTTTACTACCCTTCCACAGGCCATAACTTGTTCATATCTGGCTAACATCCATAATAGGACAATAAATACTTACTTAGGCTGATCTAGTAGCCACAAACTCTGGAGTTCTCCAGAACTCTTAACTCTTAACCAGGCTGTTGTTGTTAACTCCCCTTGAATCAGCCCCAACTCATGGTAACCCTATGGATGAAACATCTCCAAAGCCCGCTGTCCACTGTTCTGCTCCGGTTTTGTAAATTCATACCCATGACCTCCCTAATTGAGTCCATCCATCTAGCATGTGGTCTTCCTCTCTTTTTTCTGTCCTCCACCTTTCCTAGCATTGTTGTCTTTTCCAATGAGCTGTGCAAGATGATCAAGTTGAGGCTGCCATACTCTATCACGTATCATGTACTGTATACTATCACAACCTCCAGTTGTCAAGCATGTGGGTTCTAGGATCCTGAGACAGGTGAAATGGTCAGCCAGTTTTGCTCTCGAGAAGCTATTTATTTAAAGAATATCAAATAAAAAGAAAGAACAAAGCATCTAAGCTGGTGAACAAAGCAAAGACAAAAGGATACCTGCACAGGCAGTCTGTTGCATGTGAATCTGCAAGGCAACTTTCCTTTGTCTACACAGCATCTTATATATTGTTATCATGTAGCACTAACTTATCACATACTACGTCATCATGTGTCTCATAGAGTCTGCATCAAAAGGAAGGAGGTCTCCCATGCCCACTCAGCAAATTGTTTATAAAATTCCAGGTGCTGGGATGTGCTGGGAAACACTTCTCTCTCTTTCACTATGGAATATGATATGGCTGAAGTACAGCAGCCTCAATTTGGTCATCTTGGCTTCCAGGAAGATTTCGGGCTTGATCTGTTCAAGGACTCACTTGTTTGTCTTTCTGGCTGTCCACAGTATAGACAGCCAGAATAAGCACTCTTCTCCAGACCTACATCTCAAATGAGTTGATTCTCTTCCTATCTGCTTTCTTCACTTTCCAGCTCTCTCATCCATTCATGGTAATGGGGAATACAATACTAGAATGATTCTCATTTTTGTGTTTAGGTTGGTTGTTAAGAAAGCAAAAGGACTGAGGAGGACGCTGGCTAAGGTTGAAGGCACAGTATCTTTAGAGAAGGTTGCATATGTAGAAGTTAGATTCTGTATGGGTTCTGGGATACTTTCTTGATTATTTATTTATATTTCAATGTATACACTGCCTTTCTGCACTTTCATACACCTATAGCCTTGGTTGCATTAATTCTTTTGAAAGTTTTTTCCTCCCTTTTCTCCAAACCTCATGGATCTTCTCCTTTGAAACTCGCTTGACTATGTTATGTAGCATACTTTCTTTGAGAAAGTATAGCTCTTGTGAATGTTTCATTGAGAGAAAAAAAGTTGTTGTATGTTATTGTAATGGAAATAACTTGATAAAGTAATTTTTAAAAAGTATATAAATGCAAATTCCTTTGGGTTAGTGTCAGCCATTCTTGCTCCCATCAAACAGTTTAGCTTTATTTAATAATGAAAAAGGTATTGACCTAATATGTATTTTGGAATATTTCTTATGGCCAGCACAGCTGCTTTTGCCATTTTATCATGCTGATAATTGGATGCTGGTCTAACTGTACTAGTAATTAACTGGTGTACGTGTGTATATGTTTTTAAAATAATAAGTGCAATGAATAATAGCAGTAAAAATCTCGTTTACAAAAGGCAGTTACTTAGAACACCAGGTTCATACTGTAATCTTATTTATTTGGAAATATATTCAGCTGAAAATTATAAGGTTTATTTCTATGTAAACATGCTATGGAAAAGAGTGCTGGAAGTTAGTTATTTAAATAATTGAGATTTCTAAGTCACACCAACTTATTCGAAATCTTTACTAGATATTAGCATGGAGTACAAGTAATGCATTTTATTTTTTTTATTT